CACAAAAAATTTAACCCACCAAAAAAAGTCTCAAATCTTCAAACAAAACTTCTAATAGTGTTTTGTAATAGAGAACAATGGTCAGAATGCAGGCGGTAGAGATGAAAGCTTTTCAAAAACAAAAACTGAGATCAGGCAGATTCGGCTGAAGTTCTTGTATCAAATGCTTTTCAACAATCTGGCAGGGTAGTGGTGTTCCAGTCAGTCTTTATATACTGCACGTAATTGCTTGCCTTGTCTACCTGGTTGCAACACCCCTGGTCATGGCTGAAAACATGGTTAGAACTTTCAGAATTGAGAAACATGTAACACTTGCCTTTAACAAAGGGATGTGAGTGGAGAAGACCTGTATGAAGCCTATATGTCTACCACCATATTATGATGCATCTACTTTAGAAGATATAATTCACGTCACGTTTATACTTGGTAATAAAAAGACTATCGTTGAAATGAGCAGTGAACATCAGAATACATCAACAAAAACATAAAGTCATCAGAAGAAAACAGAGGGGAAGATGTCACAACATGGCCTGTGCTGTTTGACAGATGATCTCTGGGAAAAACACAAAAAGAAAAATTTCAGGGCCAAACCTGTCCAGCCATACTGTCTGTCCTGCTGCATCATCAGCGTGTTTCCATGGTAACAATGTGTCTGATGATGGAAGCAATTCCTTGAATTTGGATGTTTCCTCAGACACATCTAGTTATTGTGATAATACATTGTTTCACTTTATCAGCTCCACTTTCTCTCTCTCGCACAAGAGCACCAATCACTCTTCTACATATCTCACTTCTTTCTGTCTCTCCCACACACAAACTGTCTCTCTCTCTCTCTCTCTTTCTCTCTCTATGACTACCTCAATGCCACAGGTAAGTGGTGCGGCAGGTTTGAGGGCCCATTAAGTAAAGCTTGTCTGTTGATGGTTTAAAGAACTTAAACACATAAAGCGCACTTGGAAAGCATGCACAAAGATTCACACTAACACATTCATGCTCACAGAAAGTCACTGAAGACAACAGTAACACGCACACTCAGACTTCACACCCACACACCCGGGCAGAGAGACCCACAGAAATACACACACACTAACCGCATTTCTGAAAGGAAGCAAGCCACCCAGACAGACAGTTTTACACAGGGATTATTGACGCTCTTAACTGGTAAATTAGAGACAGCCACTGTATGAGCATGTACTTAAACAGCAGCCTTTGTAATTTAATAACACTAATGTGAGTACCAACGTTACATTTTTTCTTATTAATGCCAACTATTTTTCAGCGCAGCATTCTACTTTATATTTTGCAATCATTTTCTTTTCAGGTAGCCATTAGCTTCCATTTAAGTGCCCCTGCTATTCAAAGGAGGTTTTTTCTTATTGTTACTTCACTTGAATGTTTGGCCTTGGCTGAGCAGAATGATGTATCTGCACTAGAAGGCTGTTTTCACATTTATCTGCTGGAAGGGGAGAGTTTGTCTCAAATGGGATTTTAGCAGATTTTGACACGAGAGAGTTTGCAGGACCATTGGTCCAACATGCGGCTCACACATCATGGTCTGTAAACTTGAAACCTCCAGTGCAAACACATTGTACACAGACAATTTACTTTTCAGTGACGCTAGAAGATCTTTTGTCGAGCCAATCACTTGGAAACTTAAAATGAAAAGATTTTCATATAAAATGGTCATAGATTCTGGATTGTTAAATTTGTGTTATTTTAAGACTATTATAATAGGTGATAGCAACTTTATATGGAAAACCCATTTCTGATAGAAATTCAAAGAAAGAGAGTGTTTTAATAAGGAAACTAATATCTGTAAAGTAGAAAAATTCATAATCGCATTTTATTTAGTTTTGAAATCCATCATAATGAAAAACTGAGTTTGTAAAAAAACATTGTTCCAGCTACAATGTGTCTATTGGTGTTGGTAATGTTGTTTTAGTCTGAAAGCTTTTTCCTGAATATAACATTAACGAATATCACTCAGCAGAGGACACACCCAATAATTCCCTTAAGTCAATCAAACCACAACAAGTTGCACACACTCATAGATATCAGTTCCCTAAATGTGACTGATTCTTTTCATCAAGATCCATGAATTACTTCCCTGACAAATCAAAGAAAATGTTGGAAAACATATCTCATAATGTTAGAGAAAGTGAAAGAAACTTTCTGGATCTACCCCCTGATCTGGATCCGCACACCAAAATCAAATAGCATCGTCCCTTGCCAATACCACATTCTTCCAGCAAGATTTAATGGAAATCCATCAAGTTGTTTTTGTGTAATGCAGCCATCTAATAAACAAATACACAAACACAACAGATGAAAGCAGAACCTTCTTAACGGAGGTTAAAAAAAAGTGAATGCAGGCTTAATATTCAACGTGATGAGTAACACAACACAACTGATTTCCCTATCATTACTAAGGAATAGGAAAATTACGCCCAACAATCTGAAATGATTGGAGCACTCTGGTGGCTAAATACAGCGGTTTCCACATGACCACAGCTTCCATGGTTCGATTTCAGCTGTGAACCTTGTTGCACGTCACACACTCCGTCTTTCGCTTTGTTTCCATGCTGCTTCTTCACAGTTGACTATCAAATAAAGGCTAAATGACAAACAGTAATCACAATAGTTTCAGCATGACCACCACTTGGAGAATCACTGCTGTCTTCATTTCATGCTTCAGAACTGCCCAGATGCTTCCACTCATCAAACTCATGTCAATATTGATTTAGCTACAATGGTGGTGGTCTTTGTTGTCCTAATTGTTAGCTGGTGTAAACTGAGTGGTGTGCCATTACAGGAGCTGGGTGATGACCCGTTTAGGTCAACAGGTGCCATGACTCAGATCTGTGCGGCACTGATAAGAGCCATCGGAGCATACATAAGCATGAACACACACCTGCCTCTGTCCAATTTAACATTCTTGTTCCATCCTCCTGTTGTTTACATTGGTCTGAAATGTCCGCTCTTCTGCTCAGTGAACAGATGACAAAGTGTGTGTGTGTGCTGAGATGTGTGTGGAGCTGTCTGTGTGCGAGGCTGTGCCTGAAGAATAGAGATTACTGCAGGACAATGGAGACAACGAATGGAGGGGTCACATGATCTTACACACCGATATGTAAAGAGAAATGCACACACATAACAGACACAATGCAAATGGAAGTTTAACACAAACACCTAATTCAACTGCCAGCTGTTAAAAACTGAACAAAATATAAAAAATTTAATTCAATGTATTAATTCAGAGGTTTACACACTAACTTCATTACTTTAAGACAGTGTGTTTGCCCAAATTAATAATTTAGTTGTAATACTGGTAATAAAGGTACCCCCACCAAGGAGGTTATGTTTTTGCCTCGGGACGATGTGACACGGACTAAGAAAGAATCCATTCAATATCTGGGGCAGATATGGACAAAAGAGCAGATCCTAG